TTCCCTCTTGTAATTGCTTTCTAGTTTCATAACAATGAGGTCTAAAAAGATGCTTGATATGATGTCAATCTTCTTGAATTGAGACTTGTTTTGTGGCCTAACATGTGATCTATTTAATATTTGCTATACATATTTTGGTGCTCCTATGTTGACTGCATATATATTTATAAATATTATATCTTCTTGCTGAATTAATCTCTTTTATCATTATGTGTTGTCCTTCTTTGTCTTTTACTACAATCTTTATTTTAAAGTCTATTTTATCTGATGTGAGTATAGTTACTCCAGCTTTCTTTTTATGTGTATGGAATATCTTTTTGCATCCCTTCACTGTCAGTCTGTGTGTGTCCTTACTTCTGAAGTGAGTCTCTTGTGGCAAATATATGGATGGATTTTTTTTAAATCCATTCAGCCACTCTATGTCTTTTAATTGGTGAATTTAGTCCAGTTACATTTTAAGTAATTGTTGATGAGTATGTACTTATTGTCATTTTGTTAATTGTTTTCTGGCTGTTTTCATAGTTCCTCTCTTCTCTTTCTATTTTCTCTTATGGTTTGATGTCTTTCTTCAGCATTATGTTTAGATTCCTTTATCATTTTTTTTTCTATATTTACTGCAAGTTTTTTCCTTGTGGTTACTGGGAGATTCACATATAGGAGCCTATGTAAATAGCATTCTGTTTTAAGTTGATAGCTGCTTAAATTTGAACACATTCCAGAGCTTTACGTTTCTCCTCCCCCTCATTTAATATTTTTGATGATACCTTTTACATCTTTTTATTTTATGCATCCCTTAACAAATTATTGTAATTTTAATTAATTTTACTACTTTCGTCTTTTACCTTTCACGATTGCTTTATAAGTGATTGACCCACTAGCTTTATTATAGATTTATGTTTTCCAGTGAGATTTTTACCTTTGTAGGTTTTATTATTAACGTATGTATTAATTAATGCATCTTATAATTAATGTAAGTATAGTGTTTGTATGTTTTCTTCTTATTAATTAGTGCCATTTCTCTTCAGATTAAAGAAGTCCCTCTAACATTTCATGTAGGGCCAGTTTAGTGGTGATGAACTCCTTTAGCTTTAGCTTATCTGGAAAACTCTTAATCTCTCCTTCAATTCTTAATGAGAACCTTGCTAGGCAGAGAATCCTTGGTTGGAATTTTTTTCTTTCAGTGCTTTGAATATGTCATGTCTCTCCCTCCTGACCTGTAAAGTTTCTGCTGAAAAATTTACTGATAGTCTTATGGGGTTTCCCTTGTATGCGGTACTTCTTTTTCTCTTGCTGCTTTTATCCTTAACTTGTACCATTTTAAAGATTTTTTTTTTCCTTTTTCTCCCCAAAGCCCCTCAGTACATAGTTGTATATTCTTTGTTGTGGGTCCTTCTAGTTGTGGCATGTGGGATGCTGCCTCAGCGTGGCTTGATGAGCAGTGCTATGTCCACGCCCAGGATTTGAACCAACGAAACACTGGGCAGCCTGCAGCGGAGCATGTGAACTTAACCACTCGGCCACAGGGCCAGCCCCTACCATTTTAATTATAAGGTATCTTGGTGTGGGTCTCTTTGGGTTCATGTTTGGAACTCTCTGGGCTTTCTGGACTGGGATTTCTGTTTCCTTTCCCATGTTAGAGAAGTTTTCAACATCTCTAATATTTTTATTATTTCTTCAAATAGTTTTTTCTGACCCTTTCTCTCTCTCTCTTTTCCTTCTGGGATTCCATGATGAGAATCTTATTCCTCTTGATGTTGTCCCAGAGGTCCCTTAAGATATCTTCACTTTTTAAAATTCTTTTGTCATTTTTTGCTCTGTCCGGGTGATTTCCATTGCTCTTTTTTCCAACTTGCTGATTTGTTCTTCTACTTCATCTGTTGTGCTGTTGAACCCCTCTAGAGTATTTTTCAGCTCAGTTATAACTTCAGTTTGATACTTTCTTATATATTCTCTCTCTTTATTGAAGTTCTCACTGTGTTCATCCTTTCCTCTCCTGAGTCTGCTAAGCATTTTTATGACCATTGCTTTGAACTCTTTATCAAGTAGATTGCTTATCTCCATTTTCTTTAGCTCTTTTTATGAGGTTTTTGTCTTGTCTTTTTGTTTGGAACATATTCCTCTGTTTCCTTGTTTTGCCTAACTTCTGTGTTTATTTCTATATATTAGATAAATCAACTACCTCTTTCAGTCTTGAGGGAGTGGGCTTAAGTAGGAGATATCCTGTGGGGCCCAGAAGTGCAATCCCCCTGGCCTCCTGAGTCAGGCACTCAAGGGATGTCCTCTATGTGAGCTGCATGAGCCCTCCTTATGTGGCAGGAGCATGGATGCTGTGCAGGGATTGGGTGGAGCTCTTGCCTGACCTGGCTGTGACACATGGCCGCAACTATTGTGACACCTTCGTGGGTGGTGTTGGTGCCCAACCTGGCTGCAGGGAACGGAACGATCACAACTGCTGTAGAATGTTGGTGGGCAGGGCTGGTGCCTGGTACCACTATGAGGCACAGTGACTACTGTTGTGGTGAGCTGATGGGAAGGGCTGGCACCCAGTCCACATGTGATGCTTGGATGTGACTGCTGCAGTGTGTTGGTAGGCAGGGCTATCTTCTGGTGAAGCTGTGAGGAGCAACCTAGGCATAGGGGTGGGCAGGGCTCTCAGCAGAGCTTTCCCTCTGGTGCTAGCAGGTTAGAGACAAAACTCCAAAATGGTGCCACTGGCACCAGCATTAGCAAGGTACATTGAGGTTGTAAAGTGACTCTCACCAGTGTCTCAGTGCCTGGGGAGAGTCCTAACTGGTTCTTGCCTCTCCAGCAGATGCTTCAGGGTTAATAAGCAATTCTGCTTCACCTAAGGCCTGTGCACCTTTCAAATTGGTGTTTTTGTTCTGGTTTCTCTGTTGAGTGAGTCTGTGTGTGACCCCTTTAAGAGTGGGTTGTCCATTTCCTACAGTATAGTTTTCCTGCACATAATCTCTGTGGGTTTTCAAAGCTAGGTGTTTTGGGGGTTCATCTCTCTTGTGAAAGATCTAAAGTTTGTGGTGCCTTAGGTGGAGTTTGAATCCCTTGCTCCACAGGCAAAAGTATCATACCTTTGAGATTTCTCCTGATTGTGGATCACCATGACTGGAGTGGGGTTTTTTCCTTGGTGAGACCATGTCTCTCTATCACCTACATGTCTTGATGCTGTCCTTTTATCCCTTCTTGTGTACATTCTGTTCATCCAATTTTCAGGTCCCTTTCAGAGGAAATTATTCCATACGTATTTGTAATTTTGTTGTGTCCATGGGAGGAACTGAGTTCTGGGTTTTCTTACACCATCATCTTAAACCCTCTTACCAAAATTAATTTTTTAATTTGCATATTTCAAAAAACTTGATTGCTCCATTAACCATTCTTTTAAATTTTCTTCTATTTTCTATTTCTTCTAAATTTTCAACTATTTATTCTGCAGTATCTCCTTCCTCTCACTCTATGCACACACTCAACTTTCTCCATGTGAAGAAACCCTCATTCATTTCTTTATTCCCCCTTTCTTTTCACAACCATTTATTTGCAGAGAAGTTACTTTATTTCCTCACCTCTCCTAGATTTTTCACACTCTACAATATGCTGAACATATTCAATATTCTACTAGTGCTTTCTCATTAAGATTATGATCTGGTTTCCAGACAAAAAGACATTTTTTAGCTCTTAGGTTACTGGACCTCTTTATCCTTGGTTCTCTAACATTTCCTACTCTTCTTTATCAATTTCCTGTGTGAGCTGCTTTTATTCCCTTCAATTAAACTCTGGTGTTTTACATACATTTATCCTCAGCCCTTTTTTCTTCCTATACTCTACACCCTCATCATGAGTGATCTCATCTACAAATTTGACTTAATTTACGCCTCCTAAAGCCACGTCCACAGCATGGATTTCGATTCTTCCTATAGAGATTTTAAACTCAACAAATCCAAAATCAAACTATTCATCTTATCCACTCCCCAAACCTGACCTACTATTCCACTGCCCAAATCAGAAGCACAGGAATCACCCCCAAACATCTTCCTCACTGTCACCATTTGTAATCATCCCCTTAGTTCAGTAGATGAAAACTCTTAATATCTCCCCAATCAAGTATTTCCCCAAGTGTACTCTGGTTAATTAAGCTTGAAAATGCTTCTTATTTTATTTTCCTCTTGGGACATTAAAGGATCTGAAAATTCCTGCAGTAAACAAGCCTTTAATTTTGTTTAACCCAGCGCTTTCAAACTTACAACCACCAGTCTCATTGCTAACACCTACAGAAATTTCACAGGATTAAATGCTCCCAGAAACACAATTTGGAAACTATTGCTCTTTGTCCCCTTTCTTCGTTGTCACTGTGTAATAGATACTGTTGGCACTCTTCCCAGACCCCCTAGGATCTTTTTACCAACTTTCTGCCTCCATTGCCCTGTTTCTGTGCTCTTGCCACTAAAAGCTCATACCTGTGACCTTCAGAGATTGTCCTTTGGCATGGAAATGGTGTTGTGCTCCTAGTCAACAGGAAGCAAACCCTAAGCTAAGGATGTGTGCACTGCCTCAATAGAGAAGCCAAAAATGACTCAGAGTTTATGTGTCCCTTAGGATAGCTTCTATCCATTAGCTAGCTAGAATGGGGTACAGATTGAGGTGCAATTTATGCTACAGAGCTCATCCTGGGATTAGGCTGAGACTGAGACTATTCCTGAACTCATATCTTTCTTTGACTTTTTATCATTCTTTGTTCTGCTTCCCATATTCTATTATGCATTCTTTTGATAGTACTGCCTTTGTAAATCCCTTGCACACAAATCCTGGTTTAAGGTCTGCTTCCTGCCAATCAGGAGTACAACGTTCTATTTCAGGATCTCTCCATCTGTGATGTAGACTGCCATCACATTCTATTAAATGTCTCCCTATCTCTAGCCTTACCCTATCCATTTCTTACAGGATAAGATCCTTATCATAGTACATTAGGGCATCCACCATGTAACTCAGACCTGGTTCTCCAGCTCCAGCTCCTCCTACTCTCCCCAGTGAACCTGACCTTTAGTCATACCAAAGCAACTGCTGCTTTCCAAATACACAGATGTCCATTATGGTGTCATAATATTGCACAAGCTGTGTTTCTTGCCAGAAGTGGCCTCCCCCAACTTTTCTAATTGGCAAATTCATACTCTTCCTTCAAAAATATTTTCAACATCTCAGTGACCGTTATCTTAATGCTGCCCTTTTTGCAGTCCAACCCTCTGCCCTTCACTTCTAATAGTATTTGTACATTATAGTTTAACTCGTTGTTACATTGTCTGATTTCCTTTCTAATGCTGACCTTTCTGAAGGGCAATCATTCTGAAAATTGGTTATTGGTTGCTTTGACCCCCCATAGAGTCCCATTACATACAGCAGATGCTCAGTAAATATCCATTACAACCTAGACATCACCTGTCCAGTAATCAATGATTCTTGGAGTTGGGGGCATCCTTGTCATAGGCAATGTGACGTAACTAACCTAATAGATCAATTTTATTTCTTAGTTGTCCCTGCATTCCACACTGTAGATCACAAATTATCTAAGTCAAATCATGCACACAGACAACACCCCCAAATGGAATATTTTATGTGTCAAATTGCTATCAATAAGCTTGCTTGCCGATTTGTTTGGGCACTTTAAATAAATTAAACACCAACTTAGTTTTATGTAGAATAATTAGATTCTACATTCTTAGGCACTTAAATCTTATGGGGTTGAACAGTTAAAGAACATTTATGAAAGGACAACTGTGCTGCAGGAGGATGTTACTTGTTCTTATTTTTTTTACTGAGTATATCTGGGATTTCAGCACCAATAAGCACAGAGTGCCACTAGCTCATGACCTCAAAGTACCTTTCTTTGTGGTTTTGCCAATGGCTCTATGAAGATAAATGTTATGTGTCTATCTTCCTGGGAGGCAGTTTCTTTAAAAAGAAAAATTAGCAGTTTCCCCACTGCCCTCTGTCCTCAATTCTCACTACTTAGGATGACTTTGTAGATAGACCTGTAACCAGTAGCTTCTGCTAAATCTTATAAGCTTAAAATGGGAAACTGGTGCAATCTCTTATTCTTTAGCCTTGTCTATGAGCTATACACTAGAAATGTCATCTGGCTTTTGTCTAGAATAGAATCCACTAGGAAATCGCTCCTGCTGAAGGCTTTCTGAGTTTGTCTACAGACTGCTGATTTAAAAAAGAAAAACCCAAAACAAACAAAATAAAAACCATTCTTCAAACACATGACCAGAAGACTCTATTCCAAAGCCTCCACGAAATAGAATTTATTTTTGTGGAAGTAAATAAATGTTTGTTCATTTATGTTATATGTAATGTGCCTAGAAGACCAAACCTAAGCAATTTTTTTTGGAAGTAGTGAAATGTGGCCTCCATTATTTTAGCCCTAATTATCTTTGCTCTTTTTTTTTTTCTTCTCTTCATTCACTCTTCTATATCAGTTAGCTAGTGCCATGTAACAAACTACCCCAAAACCTAATGGCTTATTACAACAACAAGTTATTATTCTCATAATTCGATGGGTTATCTGGGCGATTTTGCAGACCCAAGCTGACTCTTAATGCATCTATGTTCCATGGCTTGTCCAAGAGACTTTGTTTATCTTCGCTGGGTTCTTTCATGTGTCTGTGGCCTCAGTTGGGATATTTGGGCAGACTTGACTTTGATCCCCTAGGTCTCATACTCATTCAGGCTAGCATGGCATGTCTTCATGATAAAGACAAAAGAGCAAAAGAGAGAACAGAAGTGTGTAAGTTCTCCTAGGGTCCAGGTTCAGAACTAGTTCCCAATTATTTCCATCATATGCTTTTGCCCAAAGCAAGTCACAAGACAGCCTAGATTCCAGGGGTGGAAAAGAGACCTCTCCCCTTTATGGGATGAACTACACAGTCACATTACAAAGAGTGTGGACACTGGAAATGGTTGTGGGTTGGGGCCATTTTTATTTTTTATTTTTGTTTTGTTTTGATTTTGGGTTTTTTCCCCTTCTTATTTATTTATTTATTTATTTATTTATTGCAGTAACATTGGACTATAACATTATATAGCTTTCAGATGTACATCATAATATATTTTGACTTCTGTGTAGATTACATCATGTTCACCACCCAAAAACTGAATCCGTTACCTCACATGTGTGCCTAATCACCCCTTTTGCCCTCCCCACTCCCTCCTTCCCCTATGGTAACCACCAATCCAATCTCGTTGCTATGTGTTTGTTTGTTATTGGTTTTATCTTCTACTTATGAGTGAGATCATACGGTATTTGACTTTCTCCCTCTGACTTATTTCTCTTAGTATAATACCCTCAAGGTCCATCCATGTTGTCACAAATGGCTGTATTCCATCATTTATTATGGCTGAGTAGTATTCCATTGTGTATATATACCACATCTTCTTTATCCATTCGTCCCTTGATGGGCCCCTAGATTGCTTCCAAGTCTTGGCAATTGTGAATAATGCTGTGATAAACATAGAGGTGCATGTATCTTTATGCACTTGTGTTTTCAAGTTCTTTGGATAAATACCCAGCTGTAGAATAGCTGGATCACATGGTAGATCTAGTCTTAATTTTCTGAGGATACTCCATACTCCTTTCCAGAGTGGCTGCACCAGTTTGCACTCCCACCAGCAGTGTACAAGCGTTCCCTTCTCTCCACATCCTCTCCAACACTTGTTTCCTGTCTTGTGAATTATAGCCATTCTGACTCGAGTGAGGTGCTATCTCGTTGTGGTTTTGATTTGCATTTCCCTGATAGCTAACAATGTTGAACATCTTTTCATATGCCTATTGGCCATCCACATATCTTCTTTGGAGAAATCTCTGTTCAGATCTTTTGCCCTGTTTTAATTGGGTTGTTGGCTTTTTTATTGTTGAGATGTGTGAGTTCTTTGTATATTTTGGATATTAACCCCTTATCTGATACATGGCTTGCAAATATATTTTCCCAATTGTTAGGTTGTCTTTTCATTTTTTTGATGGTTTCCTTTACTGTGCAGAAGCTTTTTAGTTTGATGTAGTCCCATTTGTTCATTTTTTATTTTGTTTCCCTTGCCCGGTGAGACATGGTACTTGAAAATATGCTGTTAAGACCAATGTCAAAGAGCATACTGTCTATGTTTTCTTCTAGAAGTTTCATGGTTTTGGGTCTTACATTCAAGTCTTTAATCCATTTTAAGTTGATTTTTGTGCATGGTATAAAGTAAAGGTCTACTTTCATTCTTTTGCATGTGGCTGTCCAGTTTTCCTAACACCATTTATTGAAGAGCGTCTCCTTTCTCTATTATATGCTCTTGGCTCCCTTGTTGAATATTAGCTGTCCATAAATGTGTGGGGTTATTTCTGGCCTCTCGATTCTGTTCCATTGATCACTGTGTCTGTTTTTGTGCCAGTACTGTGCTATTTTGGTTACTATGGCTTTGTAGTATATTTTGAAATCAGGGAGTGTGATACCTGCATCTTTGTTCTTTTTTCTCAGGAATCCTTTGACTATTTGGGGTCTTTTGTTGTTCCATATAAATTTTAGGATTCTTCGTTCTATTTCTGTGAAAACTGTTGTTGGAACTTTGATAGGGAATGCATTAAATCTATAGATTGCTTTAGGGAGTATGGACATTTTAACTATGTTAATTCTTCCAAGCCAGGAGCACGGAATATCTTTCCATTTCTTTGTGTCTTCTTCGATTTCTTTCAACAATGTTTTATAGTTTTTGGTGTACAGATCTTTCTCCTCTTTGGTTAAGATTGTTGCAATTATAAATGGGGTTAAAATTCTTAATTTCTCTTTCTGCTACTTCATTGTTAGTGTACAGAAATGCAATAGATTTTTGTATGTTGATTTTGTACCCTGCGACTTAACTATATTCATTTATTATTCCTAAAAGTTTTTTAGTGGCTTCCTTAGGGTTTTCTATATCTGAAATCATGTCTTCTGCAAAGAGTAACAGTTTCACTTCTTCTTTTCCAATATAGATCCCTTTTATTTCTTTTTTTTGCCTGATTTCTCTGGCTAGGACTTCCAATACTATGTTAAATAAGAGTGGTTAAAGTGGGCATCCTTGTCTGGTTCCTGGTCTTAGAGGGATAGCTTTCAGTTTTTCTCCGTTGAGAATGGTATTTGCTGTGGGTTTGTTATATATGGCCTTTATTGTGTTGAGGTATTTTCCTTCTTTATCCATTTTATTTAGAGTTTTTATCATAAATTGTTGCTGTATCTTGTCAAATGCTTTCTCTGTGTCTATTGAGATGATCATGTGATTTTTATTATTCATTTTGTCAATATGGTGTATCACGTTGATAGATTTGCAGATGTTGAACGATTCCTGCATCCCTGCAATGAAACCCACTTGATCATGATGTATGATCTTTTTAATGTATTATTGTATTTGACTCGCTAGTATTTTGTTGAGGATTTTTGCATCGATGTTCATCAGTGATATTGGCCTGTAATTTTCTTTTGTGTTGTCCTTGTCTGGTTTTGGTATCAGGATAATGTTGGCTTCATAGAATGAGTTAGGAAGCCTCCTCTCCTCTTCAACTTTTTGGAAGAGTTTGAGAAGGATAGGTGTTAAGTCTTCTTTGAATGTTTGGTAGAATTCACCAGGGAAGCCATCTGGTCCTGGACTTTTATTTTTTGGGAGGTTTTTGATTGCTTTTTGATCTCCTTACTGGTGATTCATCTATTCAAATTCTCTTCTTATTCTTGGTCCAGTTTTGGAAGGTTGTATCTTTCTAAGAATTTATCCATTTCTTCTAGATTATCTATTTGTTGGTGTATAGCTTTTCAAGTACTGTCTATTACCTTTTGTATTTCTGAGGTGTCATTGTAATTTCTCCTCTTTTGTTTCTGATTTCATCTATTTGAGCTTTCTCTCTCTTTTTTTTTTTTTTTTTGGTTAGTCTAGCTAAGGGTTTGTCAATTTTGTTTATCTTTTCAAAGAACCAGCTTTTGGTTTCATTAATTGTTTTGATATTTTTT